TTGTTATATTTTTATCATGAAGATGTTAAAATATCTTATGATGCCTTATTAGCTGAATAACTATGATTAAAAGATTAACTATGGTTGATACAGTCCCAAAAAATGCTATGGATGCTTTTATTTCAAACACATTTTAGATTATACTCCCAATTATTAAAATGGTTATATATATATTAGCAGCTCCTTAGTAAACTAATGAGAGAACCTTCACTTTTTTAAGAAGAATAACAGAGCCTTGCAGAGGTACCATTTGCAGGACCAGGCCCAGATTTTTTTTAAAAATTTTTTCCGGCCCGAGTTTTTTTTAAAAAAATTTTCAGGCCCGGCCCGGCTGGCCCAGCCCGAATTTTTTAAAATAAATTATATTTATTTTTGATATTTATAGCTAATAATGGCGATTTCAAATATTTGGTTTTAAAATATACAACTCGGCTCGGATATTTTTTCTTAAAAAATTTTCAGGCCCAGCCCGGGTGTTAAAAAAAATTACGAGCCCGGCCCGGGTATATTTAAAAAAATTAAAATACGGTCCGGCTCGGGGGCCATGCCTGCAATTCTGTGAAAAACATACCTATGAAATACAACATCTGAAAGTAGATTGAATGATTTGGATCTTTTGAATATTCATAGACATTTAACGCCAAGCAAGGATTGATAATTGAAAAATTAGCTCAAAACATACAAAATACAATTATTCCTAAGAAACTTTGTGTATTAATTTTTATTTACAACATTTAAATTTTTTATACTTTATATATTTTAAAAGCTCAAAAAATTCAAATTTCAATTTTGGGTCATTTAAGTGATTCATATCGTGGGTTATATTCACTTTATATTTTAAGATTCACATTTAAATGCCGGTTTATATATATAATTTTTTTAATTCACATTAGTTTAAAATTGTGTATTAGAAAAGTTATTAATCCTAATAAATTTATGCTTAGTATTTTTAATTAAAAATATTATTTCTTAAAAAAATTTATTATCCCCCCCCCCCAGACCAAATTCCTGCGTACGCGCCTGACTGGCAAATGAACACAATTCGTTACGTAATTTACACTCAATATATTTGTCAATTGTGCCAGTTTTTCTAAGGCCTTTTCAGAAATACCTTTACTATTTATTCATCAAACATTGATGCAAATATTGCACATTCAAAATAAGCTCTCTATTCATAGAAAATCGTTCCGACAAGCTGTTTATAATTTTATCAATTATAGGACGAAATACTTCGACCCTATAAAGGTCAATCGATTTTTTAGGACATTCATCTAGGTCTTCGTCACATTTTATTCTCTTCGCTCGTCCTATTCGATTTTTTGGCAGAGCAGTCTGTACCCAGATATTCTTCGGGAGCTTTAAATATGAAAGTGTTTCATTTAAATTAGAAGCCATTTTTATTGCTTTATTTTAAATCGATGTAATAGTTATCTCTGATACAGAAGACTTAGCATTTTCTATCATTTTCCATGCTGACAAAATATCTAAATTTTTAGTTTGAAGTTATAATAACAATGGCCCCATTATTTTAAAAATTTCCAGATATATTATAGCTGTACTTAGAGTCTTAAATTTACATAAATTATCGATCAATGACTTCGCTACTGATGAAGTTTTGGCCTCAAATGATTTATTATCTATTATAAATTCAAGTGCACTTACCGTTTTTGGGAGCAAGTTCTCTTTACCATATATCCATCTAAGGGCTTTTCACGTGCCCACCACATATTTTTTGCAGCTTTCTCAACTAATTCTGGCAGATAAATTATCCTGTTTCACCCAAGCATCCATTCTTTTATATGATTCACCAAAGAAAGTTGCTTGTCTGTTTAATAATCCAAATTAATTTTTGTTTTCAATATTAACGCACAAATCACTTATACAGAGATTTAATTGTTACTGTAACAAATATACAAACTACCTGGAGCCTCTTGTCTAATAAGAGCTTGCAACCCAACAAATCCACCCCGCATATTTGCACCACCATCAAATGATTCTCCAATTATATTTCTCATTTGAATTTCATGTTTTAAAAGACATTCACCTAAGATATCAAAAATTTATTTTCCAGAAGAGTTTGTTTGTAAGTGCGAAACGCCTTTCTATTATTTTGCCATTACATATGTATCTTAGGCAAATGGTTGTTGATCATAAATGCTAATATCTTCTTTTTTATTAAATCCTGATTTGATCAAGAACAACATCAATAACTTTGTTTACAGTTGTTTTTGATTATAAGGTTTTTAGAGAACCTCTTCCCTTCGATTTTGATTTGTCAGAGAATTTGAGCTTTTCTTTTCTAGGTGTGTTCTTTAAAATAGCTTTCTCTAAATGATCTCTGAGTATTTGATCATTCTTTGATATAATACGAATCATTTTCAGGAAATTTCCATGAATCAAATTCAAATTTTTAAAATGGCTAAGTGTTTCAGTAGCATATGCTCTGTAGGGTAAGTTTTGTTTGCCTAAAAACCTTTATTATCTCGAATATTTGTTTTATTATGTGGACATTGTTATAAATTTGTCAATTATTTTCATTTAATATTTTATCACATTGAATTACCAAATGACTTGTTTTTTGACGCTGTGAGGTAGGCCTCGACTGCAACTCTTGAATTTTAATTATTGAATGCATATGTCGAAAATTTGTTGAGCTTGTTATGAAAGTGTTTTCGCACAGGCAGATAGATCAGGACACAACTTTGACTTTATTTCATATTAGTTTTATTGTAATCCATTTTCTAAGTATTTCTTATTACTATTCGTCAATATAATTTATCATATTTACTATTTATTGGTTGTATAGGATGTTGCATTAAAAACTTAAGTTTTTGAGGTTTAGTAGCTGTTAATTGCCACTTAAAATTTTCATGTATATGCATATCCAATTCTAAAGGAGATACTGTAGGATCCCCTAAATAGATTTGTGGCATATCTGGGAAGGAGCTATTTAAAAGTGAAATTGTTACAGATGAATGTGACGTTAATATTTCTATACATGGTGAAATTGTTTCCGATATCAATAATCCACTTTGTGAAATATCTGAAGGCATTATTGATGTAGTTGCTTCTGACAAGTATGAGGATAATAAAGATGGAATTGCTGTAATTGTAGATAATGTATTTTCAGGGTATGTGAATGATTTATCTGCTGTAATAGTGGATAATATAGTTTTATGTGGGTGTGTGTGGCAATGTTTGAATTGATGCAATAATAAATGAAGACGTTGCAGACAATGTAGTTGTTCAGGTAAATGTGAATGGGAGGCAGTGGTTGATATTCCTAAAATAATAGTTTTTTTTACATGAAGTAATAGTATTAGAAATACTTGATATTGATTAATATAAGAAAGATAATTTAAGTTGTTTTGGATCAGTATCAGCTACTTTGAGACCAGCAGATTTTTTTCTCTTAATTTTTCAGCTCCACCTTTAAATTTCCTTTGGCATTTTTATGCATGATATTTAAAAATATCAATTTAACTAAAAATAATATATTGTGTACACTACCCATGATAAATATAAACAAGATGAGTGTAAAATTAAATTTAATATAATTTTTTTAAAGAATTGTATTTTAATATAAGATAAAGTCATCATTTTAGTCCTTTCATATGATGTTGCATTAATTACTATTATTAATTTATAACTTAAGGCTAAAAAAAATATCTCAAGATGTGAACTGGAAATTCAAATAAAATTACTTATTTTTATAAAAATCTGATGAACCAGCCAGTAATAAACATTACTGTCTATAGGTTATGAAATATAAATAAGTTGTTTACTTTTGACTTTTTACATACATCTCAATTCAATGATCATATAAATAAGTTTAAAAATAGCTATATAAAGTTGATTATTATATTTGGTTTGTACGATAAATTTTACTGAAAATTTTTCCAAATGATAAGTAAATTGTTGGAATCATTTTAACAATCTATCGTTAAGCTTAGTTAGTAATAAAATAACATAAATTAACAATCAATTAATTAATATTAAAAAGAAACATTAGAAAATTAAATTGATCAAAAATTAATTTTATTATAATTATTATACCTGGGTTTTATTTAATTTCAATGAATTAAGAACAAGAATTACAATCACAAATGTTGGCTCTATTATTTCTATAATAAATCAATGTATGAAAATATAATATAATAAATTAATCAAAACTTAGCTTTCACTCTACTCAAACGGAAGCGTTTTCACGTCATTTGAAAAAAAAGCAAATAGCAATGATGTAAAGCGTTAGCGATGTTATTGATATTTTATGCATTAAAATTATAAATAAAGAGAAAATAATATGAACATAATATTTTTATTTATAATCGGCCTCTTTTTTGATATTTTCCTCTGATCGGCTCAAAAATCGACATTTTCTCGCGGCCTCGTGGGCAAAATGCTCACCTGGTCTTATAGCAGTTCGCCCCTGATTACGGTTCCTAAAATATTGAGAGAAGAGTTCTGCATTTTGGTTCTTACTCTTAGATTTAATGATTTCAAAGGCTCCGGTTCCAAACTCTGTTAAAGTAAATAAAAATATTTACAAATAAACTCTAGAATGAATCACAACATTTTGAACAATTTATGTAAATTACCTGCATTTTTATTAGAATCTGTTCCAGAACAGGTTCATGGAAATTTCAAATGGGCCCTGATTTCGGTGCCTATATATTTTAACTATGGATTATAAGTTCTGATTCCGGTTCCTATTTCCCGGTTCGGAGGTTTTGGTTCCAAACTCTGGTTTTTCTATTTTTTATGATATTTAATATTTTTTCCTGAGAAATTAAATTTTTCTTTAAAGAAAATCATATTTTTAAAACAAATATTTCCTTTTACTTGATTTTTTTAAAAAAAATTGGAGAAAATTAGTCTAAATTTGTAGCTTTCAGTATTTTAATTTCTGACTGAGCAATAAAGAAAAAAAATTCTTAGCGAAAAACTGTATAAATATAACCGTTTAATATAAATTTAATTTATATATAATTTTTTATTAGGAGTTATTGTCCAAACAGTGATGCCATACTTCGTCGTTACCAAGATGACCAAACTTAAAAGAGTATTTTTTTTAAAAAAGAAAAAATGTAGAATTACATAAAATATTAGTATTTGTGAGAAAAAGTCTCAAGACCCTTCCCCAGAATTTTTATTTTTAAACCCGGCCTAGATTTAAAAAAAAATATTTCTAAGCTCGGTTCGGATTTATGATATTTGATTGTTTTATAACAATTTTACAAATTGTTTCTAGGATGTAGAACGGTTCAGTTCCATATCGGTAGATTTCATTTTATTTTGTAAAAATAAAATTTAATAATAAAAACTATTTTAATTACTTATTACTAACTTAAGCTGATTTGAAAAAAGATAATAAAGACTCAAAAAACAGAAAATTTTTAAGAAGAAAAAAAAATTATATTAAAATATAAATTTTTTTAGCTTGAAAGGAAAGATGGGGAGAAATCAGAATAAAATTTAATTAATGTAGTCTTTGACTAAGTTAGAACCCTTACCTTGGGTCCTCGGACTCACATTAATCTGGTAAAGATCATTAAATAAAAACTAAACAAAAATTAAACTAGTTGAATCTCTTTATTTTAATAAGAAATAATAATATTAAAATTATGATAATATAATTTTATAAAGTGGTTTAAACCTGTTCAAAGATATGGTTCACTTCGGTCCTTTCTATTTGAGATTTTTTTATATTGGTCAAGGTTCGGAAAATTATTAAGAGTCATTTTGGCTTTACGGCTCTGTTTGACACTGGTTGTTTTAAAGGCAAATTAAAATTATAAGCAGCAAATGATTAAATGATCCTTTATATGATTTTCTAACTAGTTAACGGTTCAATGCTGGTTTTATAAAAATAACTTTTAGACCCGGGCCGGATTTTTAAAAATATTAATTTAAGGGTTGAGTTTCGGACTGGCAGGTCTTTGATATAATACTGTCTATATATTCAATCATACTTGGCTACCCATGGTTTAATTCGTGATAACTTTGGGGGATTTACCTTACAGTAATAACATGAATCTGAAAAATAAGAAAAGTTTTAAATCGAAATTTTTTTATTTTACGGTTTCTAACTAGCTCTCCTAATTCTAAAAATTCCTTACTTTCTTATATTATATTTTTATTAGGTAACTTTATTACATCCCAGTCCAGAAGTTTACGTCCAAAATAGCTTGAAAATGGTGGGACTGCAAACCGTTACATTCGGGTATTGGCCTCACTCTCTTATGGCTCTCCTCAATAAAACGGCTTATTATTTATCCCCTTGGATTGCGGAAAAGATTATTTTATCTGTCTTCACTTCTAATTTGCGGAAGCGAGAACAAAGGGGTCTAAGGCAAAAAAAATGAATGAGTCATTACATTTGAAAATGGATTTGTAAATTATATCTTACTAACAATTTAAAAATAAGATACTAATTTGTTTATTAGATATTATATTCTTTTAACAATCTTTTATAAAAAAAATTATAATACCTTATCTTATTATTATTTCTTAATTAAGTCGATTAAATAGATTTTTATTTTACTACTTTGGAAGCTTCAAATTTAAAAATTTATGTATTAAAAAATTGGCATTACTCAACTTGTTCTAAAAATGTTTTATAACGCACTTTTAAATTACTGCATTTAATTTTATAGAATATTTTATATTTGGATTGGATATAGACTGTAGATTATCAAAAAATTGTGTGAGATTCTTTAGAATATGTTTTGATAATTGATTATACGTTGTTATTTCTTCAATCTCTTACTATAATGTTCCAAGTCCACCTTTAGTAAATAATTTTGCGAGAACGACATGGCTTACCATTGTCTCCCAAATTTAAAAAAAATTATGTATAAAATACGTATTCGTATTGGGAAAAAATAATTATATATATTTTATATTTTTGTAACATTAAAGCAAATTTTACATTTATTATTATAGCTCGCTACATTTCAAAAACATTAGTGTCTTTTTCCATATTTTTAAGATTTTTTTCTTGTTTGATTGATTACCTCACATTTGTTGAATAAGAATAAATCATTCCAATTATTGATTTTTTTACTTTCGGAATTTCAAATTCAAATAATATTAATATCGATAATATACCTTTTCGAATAATTATTTTGCATACATTTTTTTAAAAATATTTAATTCTCTTTATTTATAAATAGCATGATATATAAATCTATATTATAATTACATTTTAGAGAAATTTTTTTTAAAAAAAAATAATTAAAAGAATATTAAAATATCATTTAAAAAAGAATAAATAAATTTTAAAACATGGGGGGTGGGATCAAAAATAGGACTCTTAATAGTTGCCTCGAAATACAGCAATTTGGATTGATTGTAACATTTTAAAAGAGGATCCATGCTCGCCATTAATTTGAGAAATTTTTTTAACCTAAAATCTTAAAAAATGATAGCCTAAGGGGACTAGGGACCCATTGGTAGAAATAACTATTGGGATAAAGTGAAAATCAGAAAAGTCGTGATGCTTTCTAATTTTTGACCTTTCCGCTACAATAATCGGATCAATGTTTGGGTTAGAAGAAAATTGGGAGACACAAGTGAAATCCCAAAGGTGTTTTCCTCTAAACCAAGGAATGCTTGTGAGCCCATCTGGTCTTTTTCCATTAGATAGGGATGGACGGGTCCCAGAAGATTATGGTAGTTAGCCAACCTAATTTATTCGAGGTTATAGAGTTAATAGCCTCATATCGACTGAACCGGAAACAGCGTAGACCATGTCTGACCTTAGAGTCGGACTCTTTCCTGCACCCTTTGCATATATGGGGTAGACATAGGTCAAAGCCAAGTCTATATCTTTTGGTCACCCTTAGCTCCTCGGCGGATAGCAAAATACCGAGATGGCACTAGGGATAGCTTCAAGCCTTCCATGGCCTGAGTTTTGGCCCAAGTATTTAAGGATTGGAAAAAATAAATTTTTTTATAATGAATTTATTTTAGAACTGTCGATGTTATTCAAAAAAAGGAACTTTATTGCTTCCATTATATATTTTTTAAAATAAGGCCATTACGATGATTTTTGAAACAATATTTTATTTTAAAAAAGTACTGAAATCGTTACTATGTAAAATAATTGAATTTTTCCTATTCCATCAATGGATATATATTTTACACGAATCCTAAAATTCAAATAAATAAATAGTCTGATAGAATTTTATAAGGTAATTTTTTTTAACGACTTTGATGATTGTTTTTATAAGTTTTTTAAAATTGTTTATATCTCGTAACCGCTTTTGCTGTAGTGAACACCTGTTCATCAATAGATGATGCTTAGGATGTTAGGAGTGAATTATATTTTATTAATATAGTTTTAATGTTTGGAAATTGTTTCGACTTCTTTTTAAAGATGTATATCTTTTCTCAAGGAAATTTTGCATTGGAGTCGTCACATATTATTATCATAAAAAATTTTTCTTAATTTAGAAATGAGTCTTGGCACTCATTTCTTCCATAAATGTCTAATTTTTATCACTAGCTTTTCTCAAAAACGAATCTAATGTTTCATTTATTCATTTTGCCTGGGTAATTCATATAATATTATCTTCACTAACATTACTTTCTAATATAATTGAAGATACCACTAATAAAAGTTGCAGCCATAAAAATTAAACAATAATAAAGCTAAAATGATTAATTACAATATAATAATGATAAAATATAAAGTAAAAAGTAACGCATTACTTTAATACGTTACTTAATAGTAACGGCGGGCGTTTCCTGATTTTTTGGGAAAAATTAAGGCCTTTAGTAATGACGTTAATGTTGTAACGCGTCACTATATATAACCACTAATTTATTTTTACATGTAAGATTATTATATAATATTTTATATTCAAAGGTAACTAGTGGCTGAATTAATTAGTTGAGCCTATGTTAAACATTAACTTAAAGCGACAATGAATGGCAGGAGTGGCACAGAGGTTAAGATCTGAAGCGCTGCAAGTTTTCAGGTTCGAGCCCATGGAGAAAAAATTCAGTTAATTATTTTTTTGCTGAAACGAATTTGATATTAGTCGTAAAGTTTTCCATGTAAAATTAAACTGATAACTTTATAGTTTCAATGGCATAACAAAATTTTTAATAGAAGTTGTCCAATATTTCAAAAAATATTTATTTCATAACTTTATTTTAATAATTTTATCAAATGTTTATTGATGTATATTTCATATATATATATATAATATATTTTATATATATTTAAACTATTATTCTTAAATGATTGATAGATGTCAATTATTATAAATATATATTTAGTTAGTAATAATATTGATTTTTGTTGATATTTTTATATATTTTTTTTCTATTTCAAAATTCAAATTTATCTTACAATTTACTTTAAAATTTATATTATGTCAATTTTCAAAAATCTAACAATCTACTCCTACAACATTCCTGGCCTACTTTCAAAAACAACTATACTTAGGAAACTCCTTGATCAATATGATATTAACATTATTTTAACACAAGAATCTCTTATTACCAATAATATTTAAAAAAAAAAGAGAAAACAAAAAAAATAAAATAAATAAATTACAAAAACTAATTCTTCTTCCTCTTTACTCCTTAATCATCCCCCCCCCTTTTTTCTAATACATATTCCTATCTTATCTTTTTTAATAAATAAACATTATTTACAATGTGGATCCTGGCTTATCCACGAGTGGTACCCGTCATCCCACTCAAATTAAACGGGACCCTGTCAGTAGGGTAAATTACTGTCAACTTTGTGGATCCTGGCTTATCCACGAGTGGTACCCGTCATCCCACTCAAATTAAACGGGACCCAGACAGTAGGGTAAATTTTCTGCCAAACGGTGAATGCAAATTCACTGCACTGGAGACGCCCTCTATGGGGTGGTGGAGTGCCCACTTAATTGTGGGATGTCTCCCCAGTGTATAATATGATATGATATGATATGATATTTTTATATGAAATATTTTCTAGGACCGGGTTCCTCAAAATTATAGTGGATTCTGGATATTTAAAAGTAAGAAAATTTTTTTTATTTGATTTTTAAATTACACAACGCAATAGTAGGATTTTTGGATTAAAATTAGAAAAATATAGATAAAAATTTAAATTTTGGATAATTAATGAAATTATGGCTTTTTCTTTTGTTACTGTTCATCGTAAGCCTGATTTTGATAAAATGCAGAATTATAAGGATCATTTTAATAAAATATTTAATTCAAAGTTTAATAAAGTGGATGTAACTAATAATATCATTACTGCAGTAATTTTTTTGTGTTTTATGTAACTTTGATTACAATGAAACATGCAATTAAGAAAATAAAAAGAAGATCTATTAAAAATAAAGAAAATGATATAAAAAATACTAATGCTGAAAATTTAATTTCTGAAATTTTGGTGAAATCTCCAGATGTTTCTGAGGATATCCAAAATAGCTTACATTTAATTTTGTTAGAAATAAAAAAAATAAATGATAAAAAGAATATTATGCCGGAGGAAAAATCCGAGGAAATATTAGATACTGGTGAAGTATTTAATTTACCTCAGAATAATAATATATCAGAGGATATCAATAAAAAATTAAATTCAATAGTGATTGAATTTAAAAAAAAAATTTCAGAGGTTTTAATTGAGAAACCTGTTGAAATTGTAAAAAATTATAATAAAGATAATACTTTGAGACAAAGTACTGAGGAATCTATAATTTTAAGTGAAATTAGAGAAATGAAAGAAAATATGAAAAATTTGTCCAAAGATGTGTCCAACTTAAAAATTAAAAATAATAATATAATTGAAAGTTGTGAACTCTGTGGAAGAAGAGGACATATCGGTAAAAATTGTTATTCAAGAGACCGAAAAATAAATGAGAATGGTAATGCAAAACCAAGTGAAAAAAATGACATAGTGTGTCATAGATGTGGTTTTGTAGGACATATAAAAAGAAATTGCATGGTGAAAGAAGCCAATTTTAAAAGTGGATTTCCGCAAAGAACATCGGTAGTGTTACAACCGGTGGTTAGAAATATACAAAATCCTATTATTAAAAATGTGGATAAAATTGAAAATTATAATACAGATCATGATAGAATGTGTTTCCGATGTGAAGAAATGGGACACATTGCTATCAATTGTATTCAAAGTGTGAGTGGATTACAGTGACTATATGATTTGAAAGAGAATCATATAAAAATAGATAAATTAATTTTTGAAAATATTAAATTTTGTGATATATATAATTTTATTAAAAATTTTGTGGATATATATATTAAAATAGATAATCATCATGGGAATGAGGATTATACATTGAAATTTAACTTGAATAAAAAGAGTTGTAATGTTGGAAATTTTTATTGTCATTTTGGTGAAATAAAAAATTTTAAATTAAACAATAATCTGAATAAAAAGGATTATTGCAATCAAATGAGTGATATATATCCAGGGGAAATTTTAAATAAAAACAAAAATGAAATTCAGAGACTTTTAAATTCTGTGATGAATTTAGGTATGAATATTAATTATATTGACAATGAGATTAAAATAAATGTTATTCAACTCATTAAAATGCCTAAAAATTTAATAACTGAGGGAGAAAAAGAACAGAGTTCATGTCCTCATATTAATTTAAAATTTGGTGGACAAATGGTTGAAATGTTATTTGATACTGGGGCAAGTATTTCAATAATGTCTAGTGAAAATTTTTATAAATATTGGCCGAATGGTATTGTTGAGAGACAAAATATGTGTATAAAACAATTTGATGGATCTGAAATCAAAGTTTTGGGTAGAACTCAGTGGGATGTTATTTTCCATGAGATTCCTATAATTTTAGATTTATGGATAGTGAATAAAAATGTTGAATTATTTTTGGGTAGAAGAACCAGATTACCTTTAGATTTTCTTAAATCAAAAGAGATCGATAATTTAGAATCTTATGGAAAAAGCAATATAAAATTTCCTGTAGGTCAAATTATTTGGGGAAGAATTTTTGA